TTATTATTAACAGAGAAACAGCGTCTTCTGATTGGTTGTTTTCTCGCTGAAAGTTAACCTTGCATCTCTTTGTGGCTGCGAATCGTATCCGCCCACACAAAGTCTTTGTTCTTGTTCTTTTCTCATGACCAAGATTTGGGAAGTCAACATTGACGTAAATTGCTGTCTACCAACTTTGGCTAACATACAGCTCTCACCACACTGGGACTGAATTAGTTCACACAAGCTTTTTCACATCTGAAGCTAAATTCAGCAGCATGACATTTAGATGGATTTAATTTAGGATCATTTGTTAACCCAGTCAGAACAATCCAATGCACAAACTGCTGGGATAGAAATTACCACATAATTAGTGTATTTTATGAAATTGGGTTTAGAAGAATATGGTAAGTCATTAAAAATGAAAGCAAAAAGAAATGAGAGAGTACAGCAACTCCTTGAGGCACACCAGTTTCCGTAAGCAACAATGGGGAGCTCTTTCCATTCAAAACAGTATGTTTTCCTCTACCCGAAAAATTAGAAGACAACAACCTTGTGACTCAGGACTGAGACCCTGCTGAAATCGGCTTGCGCAGTAAAACTGGACACATACTGACACTGTAAAATTATGCTGCTTGTAAACATAGGGAAATACTAAATAATATCTTAGTTGCCCAGTCAATCACCAAAGAGGTGGAGCAAAGAAAACACTGGGCTGAACAATTCAAAAAACTTCTAAATCGACCGCCATCTACAACGCGCCCAACAATACCAACAACGGAAGCAGAACTACCAGTGAACATCGACCCCCCCACGAAATCAGAAGTCCTGAATGCAATCAAGATGCTAAAAACCGGAAAACCAGCAGGACCAGATGGAATCCCAGCAGAGGCATTGAAAATAGACCCAGAGACAACAGCGGACTTGATGACACCACTGCTGGAGAAGGTGTGGAAAGAGGGCAAAGTACCCGAGGATTGGAAGAACGGATACTTATTCAAACTATCAAAGAAAGGAGACTTTAGTCAATGCAAAAACTGGCGTGGAATTATGCTCCTGTCAATTCCAAGCAAAATACTAAGCCGCATCATCCTGAGGAGAATCAAACAAGCCCTACATGAAAAACTTCGACCGGAACAGGCTGGATTCAGGAGAAACATGTCATGTATTGATCAAATCGCCACTTTACGAATCATCATTGAACAGAGCTTGGAATGTCAGTCACCTCCCTATCACAAATTCACTGACTTGTAAAGGCTTTCGACAGCATCGATCGAGGGGTGATTTGGCAACTACTTCGCTACTACGGGGTCCCATCGACAATTATACATCTCATCCAACAGTTATACGACAATGCTGCATGCCAAGTAATCCACAACGGGAAACTTACGGAAGCCTCTGAAGTGAGGACGGGAGTGAGGCAAGGCTGCCTACTATCACCAATGATTTTCCTGATTGCAGTAGATTAGATAATTCGACAGACAGCGATGGGCAGCGAGGAAACAGGCATAAAATGGACCCACACAAAAAACTTGGAGGATCTGGACTTCGACGATGATATATGTCTGATCTCACACAAACTGGAAGATATGCAAGTGGAAAGCAACAAGTTGGCAGAAGAAGCATCAAAGATAGGACTTCAGGTGAACATAGGTAAAACAGAGGTGATGAAGATTCCTGGTCAACACCAACTGCAACAACAACAGACAACAATCAGCATAAACGGAGGAACCTGAAAGAAACAACCTCCTACACCTACCTACCGACATGGGAAGCATCGTTTCGACTACAGGCGGAACTGACAAGGATATCAAAGCCAGAATCGGAAAAGCAAGACAGGCTTTCATTACTCTCAAGTCTGTGTGGAAGTCAACAGCACTCAGCATCAAAAATAAGATCCGGATTTTCAACTCCAATGTGAAGTCAGTCAGTGCTATTATACGGATTAGAGACTTGCACTGCGCGTCATAAAGAGCATCTCAAACAAACTTCAGATCTTCATTAACAGTTTTCTTCGCTCAATACTCAAGATCAGATGGCCAGACAGAAAACATCAGCGACAGGGAGGGATCTCTGGGAGCGAACCAACCAGGAACCGATCGTGCAACAAATAAGCAGAAAGCAAAGGAGATAGATTGGACATACGCTGAGGAAACCATCAAATGACATCACTAGACAAGCCACTGTTCGAGTGGAACCCGAACAGGTGACTTGGAGGAGGTGATGTGAAGAGGAGATGAAAGCGTGTGGGTAGACTTGAAGCGGGGTGAAAAAGTTGGCAGAAAACAGAAGGCAATGGAGATGCGCAGCTGAAGCCCTATGTTCCCCTAGGAATTAAAGGATATAATAATAATAATAGTCTTAGTTACCTTCTTGCAACAGACCTGGAACACCTGTCATCAATGTTGGATTAATTGCATAGTTAAATAACTAGACAGTAGAATTCATTGGGCGGATAAAATGAATTATGGAAAACAATAGCAAATAACAAAATATGTAACTTAGAAAATAATTTAACCATTTATATATATTTTAGGAAGTTTATAGCCACCGAAGAACGATATTATGTGTAATTAGTAGTGTTATCTGAGTGGTTGGTGGAGTTGCGGGGCTTTCATCATCTTTCTGGACAACATCCCCTTTCAGCGGAGTTTTTAGCATAAGGTGAACTGATTTAAATTTTTGCTGAGTGATAGAATTGCGTCTTGATCATTTTTTTGTTGACTTGAATTTTAAACTTTCTCGGCACATGATTCACTTTTTATTTGTTGGTATATTTGGTCTGAATATTAACGTGTTTGCCAATCGCATATTCGTTTAAGTACCAGGCTTCTAGGAATTCCCTGGCACTTTTGGTGTTTCCTCTGTCTAAAATTTCGACATTATCCCAATCATCAACTTGGTGTCCATAATTATCTATATGCATTGATATGAAAGAATATATATCGTGTCTTTTCACGGCTGATTTGTGATCTTGGATTCTAATTCGAAGGGGACGCCCACTTTGACCAATGTCTGTTAAAGTTTATAGAATTTATTTTGTAAATGGTATTAATCTTATCTCCTTTTTCTGTTGGATCTTTCTGTTTGCACAATATCGAATGAAGTGATTGTGTTGAGTGGTTTGTGTGCCATATATCTATTCCAAACGGTTTCAAAATTCTAGCTGTTATTTCAGAGATATTTTTATATATTGTAGGATGAATTTTCTTGTGGTCTTTGATGATGGTTTCTTGTTGGTGTTGCGATTCGATTTTAACCAGTTTTTGATGAAATTGTGCGGATATCCATTTTTTTCCGAAGACCGTTTGTAGGTATTTTTCTTCCATTCTTTTCAACTCTGGAGTGCTACAGTGTGTTTGAACTCTTCTAAACAATGTTTGCACATAGTTTCGTTTGTGAGTAACTGGATTATTGCTAGTATAGTTCAGTATTTGATCTGTGTGCGTTGATTTTCTATATACTTGTTTTTCTAAATTTTCTGTTAGTGCTTCTGATGAAATCAGTTAATTTTATGCTAAACAAAGCAGACGGTCTTCGTTTAATAGCCTTAAACTAAATCCTTCCAAATGTCAGACTGTCAATTTCAGTTTTCGGTGTAAACGAAAGTTAAATGAAGCCGTTGGTTCCTATGACCCTTGAAAAATTGATGATACTGATATAGAAACCAAGTCTGAAGTTAAGTATCTCGGATTAATTCTTTCTTCTGACCTATCCTGGTCTTCCTATGTCTTAGCGATTTCTAAAAGAATATTTCCTCTGACTTTTACATTAAGAAGTTAAGGCACTCAGGCGTAACCCAACCACTTCTCTTACAATTTGTCAACTCATGCATCTTACCTATTCTTCTTTACTGTTCACCCTTACTTATTCTTTCCTGGATTGCTTAAAAAAAGACTATGCCATACTTCGTAGAACTCTGAAGACTGACTGTCAGTAGCGCGAGTAGTATCCCATTGGACCATATAGTTGTCATTGTCAGTGATTGGCATTTGATGTCATGCAACAAATTTGCTAAAGGAATTTCGTCAGACTGTGAACATCCACTGCAGCACCTGCAGCTTCAACCTTGTGTCTCCCCAGGTAAAACAAGAAATATTTACAGAAGAATTTATTCGCGTGCGTCTAAGTATAAAAATTCCACTATACCAACCAGATTTGGAGCGTACTTCATGGGATGAAAATAGTGTTAGGCTTGAACTAATTGACTTTCTTTGCACTACTAAATAAACCATTTCCTCCACCCTTACAACATCAAAATTTATTGTGATTGTATTTCTTATATTTATAATCCTCTCAATTTTTTGTTTTCGTTTATCTTTTTTTATAAGTGTGAACATAATTTAATCTGTGTTAATAACTGTTAATTTTGTATTTCCCCTCACTATACTACATCAACAGAATATTAGATCCAATAATCTATAACATGCTAGAATTTCCAAACTGAATCGACAATACTGTTTGAAACAAACTCACTGTTATTATTATTATGATTATAATATTTAATGATTTCAATTCGTGCTTCGAATATTTTTGACTTTATATCGTGAATGTGGACAAATTCCTCTGGTTAATTTTGTTTTAATTTTTAATTTTATTTATATTTTGAGTTAATCAGATGCAAGGTGTTGTGACAAATGCTGAGAATTCCATTCTGTATTATAAGTACTGTTTTGGAATAAAGTAGATTATTATTATTTTAAAAAAAGATTGCGCTGGAGATATTGTCTAGAAGGATGACGAAAGCTCCGCAACTAAACCAACCAGCTCACAGAACACTACTAATTGCAAACCATCCACCTGAAGGGTATCCTTATTTAAAAATATCAATAAAAACAGTACAATTTCAGTTATAAACGACAAACTTCTGAACTTTTCAAATATTTTATTCCTAAAGGTATCTGGACAAAACTTAACTTAGTAATTACCTTAACTAAGAGGCCTGATATTTCACCCTCTTGTAAGCTTTATTTAGTTGGTCGATAAAATTCCTGTTATTCGCCATCTTCTTCTTCTTCTAGGTGATGGCAAGATGAATGGTACAGGTCTTCCAAGTAAGCATGATGCACAAGAAACAATCAGAAAAGTCAAATATGCCTTTAATATAAATGAGCAAGTTCGACCGCTGACACCTGGTGATACTGCTAAAAAAATTTTCATTCGACTATTCAACACAGTTCATTGGTTGGATAAAGTTTGTAGTCAAAATCTTGTTGCTGATTATGATCAAAATATGGTGCGTGATGTTGTTGAACCTTTACTAGAAGAAAGTACACTTTCTGCAATTATGACTAGATTACAGCCTAAACAACAAGATTTTTGGAGAGAGTTGGGACCAGCCTGGAATACACCACCGTAAGTTAAAATTAATTTGATTATATTTATTATAATATTATCACCCCAAAAATTATCCTTTCAACTATGCGACGTGCTAACTATACTTTCCTGGTATTACAGTAATGTGTATTAAAGTACTCATCTGCCCATTTATCTGTTTTATTACACCTCTCAGAACTTACAATTATAAGCTATCCTGAAACTGCTAATATTGTGTAATCATTAAACCAGTTACATGGACGAGTTGCCTGGAGTTTTTAGAGAGAATCGTGACCAGTTGAGTCCACCTGGTCGGGAGTGAGGATAAGTACTCTCCAATGACACCAGCTTGCAGCTGTGCTACATGTCGCCAACCGGCAGAATTTGAAATTTACGGACCAATGAATCCAATCTCAGTGTCTAAATGGTTCGCGACCTCACCTTGTAACCAGAAGGTCCTTAGTTAATGACCCAGTGGGTGCGCGCTGCTGAAGAGTCTCAGGTTAGGGCAAAACAGTTGTTCCGTACTCCTTAGTTTTCTAGCCGATGTCAACCAATGATCAAACCTGTTTCACGTAGCTCTGAAATCATAATGAAGTTACATTTCTGATCCCTTTTTGTTATATATATATATATTCAAGTACATGCAAGTAGAAACAGTGGTATATATTTTGATGTGGTTGTTTTCTCTGAGCTGGATAATTAATTTGATAAGCTTTCATCGCCCTACTAGGTGACATCTTCAGCGCATACTTCAATTTGTTGAAGTGAGCTTTTAGATCTCTCCACGAGTTTATTAATCATCTCTCCTGGTGACCTTGGACGTGATTGGTTGTTTTTGTGTGTTTTCACACCTTCTAGGTTACTTGTATTAGAACTGATTGTTTCTTCGAATTGAACTTTGACCCTTCGTGTGTGAGGTTTCTTTTTTATCGGTTGATAAATTTTGTCTATATCGATGTGTCTATTGATTGATGATTCACTGAAATGCCAAGCTTCTGAAAATTCTCTAGCAATCTTGTTGTTTCCTCTTTCTAATATTTGAACGTTGTCCCAGTCGAATTGATGTCCGTGGTTGTCTGTATGTAGTGATATGAGCGAGGGAGTGGATATCATGTCTTTTGACGGCTAGCTTATGTTCGTGGATACGAAGACGAAAGGGACGTCCACTTTGGCCAATGTAGTGTTTTTCGCAGTTGTTACAATTTGTTTTGTAGATGATGTTGGTTTTATCATCTTTTGCTGTTGAGTCTTTTGGTTGACACAGAATTGAGTGAAGTGACTTTGTTGGTTTGTGTAAGACGTCAATCCTTAAAGGTTTGAAGAGTCTTGTAGTGATTTCTGAGATGTCCTTTATATATATGCTAGGGGATTTTTTTTGTGCTTTCCTTTGGGGCTTTTGGTTTGATAGGTTGGCTTGGGGGTATATGTCTTTTGATGAAATTCCGTGGATATATTTTTTCAAGGTATGGCTGGCATCTCAATGACAACTTCTTTTAAAAATTAGTTATTCTAAAACCTTAACATTACATTCTAAAATGAAAATTATTCAAATGAAAGAATTTAAAGACTATTTTATACATAACATTCCAGTGATGACTAGCATTCATTTAAAGAAATAAAATTAAACATTTTCAGGAATTATACAATAAATACTGACAAACAATAAAAAAAACAATGAACTCACATGGATGATGTGTATATCATGATGTGATTATAAGCAAGTAATAAGTTTTGCTCAAAACATCATCAGTAAATAATACTGTATCACTGTGAGAGAGCGATAAAACGGACTTATACTGCCTCTACCCTTTGTTTGTCATTTTCCAACCGACCAATTATGACTGCTCAAGTGAAAGACAAGCTACCTAGCTGTGCCACTTCTAAGTGTTTCTACAAATTTAGTTGCTTCTGCTGAGAAAGCTGGCTATATAGGGTGAACAACTAGACAGCTCAACGAACGTACTAATGAGCATCTTCCTTCATGGTTCGGGAAAGACCAAATAAAATCTATAAGAAGTTCTATTTTGGTTCATTTGATTGGTATTGGTCACCAAGTGGACAAAAATAGTGCCTTCAAAGTTATCTATCGCATTCCATTGAGCCTTTCGAACGGAATTCGAACCCGCCTTTTATATATAGCCGAAGCTATGGGAATCAATTTGAGAGAACATTCCTAGTCTTTGCATACAGAAGTTTGTTCTATCTTTGTTTCTCCCTTGGCCTAGGTGAATTCTATTCAAAACCCTCCCACCCTCTCTTATTTTCCATCTCCGTATTTTTATGATATTTATTTAAACGCTGATTATCTGTCCACTTCACCTACAGTATTATGTAACTTTTAGGATTTGACTTAGTTTATTTATTGAATCGTCTACATATACATACATTTTACTACCTTTGTTATTATTATCGCCACCTGTATAGACCTTATTATCAATATTTCGTTATCATTATGATCATCGTTATAACCTACGTTCAAAACATTTCCCATATTATTATTATCACTTGATCCACAAAATCATCGTCATTGGTTAAAAAATTTTAAATATAAATCTATGTAAATTAGAGTAAAGCCTGAAGAAGATCTAATTAAAACAATATTGTTCGTTTATATGCCTTGTTCAAATAAACTATTCTATGATAGAATTTTACTCTGTCAGGGTCCTCACCAGCCATATGACAATCTTTTTTGTCGAATAATCCACAAAGAAAAACTCAGTGAAACCTGTCTTTGAAGTGAAGACAGGAGTTAGACAAGTCTGCCCCTGCTACCCTCGATGATATTCCTAATTGTGGTGGATTGGATCATGAGAAAGACTGTGGCGAACCAGAAGTCAGGAATACACTGGATCGACGAGAAGACTCTAGAAGACCTGAACTTCGCGGATGATTTGTGTTTGATGTCATACAAATTTCAAGACCTACAGGCGAAAACAAACAAGTAGGAAGAAAAAGCAACCAGTGAAGACAGGACTTCAAGTGAATATAGAGAAGACGAAGGTGATGAAGGCAACTAACCGACCAATCAACAACAATGACAAACATCAATCATTATCAATGGAAGAAATTTGAAACAGGTCACTTCCTTCATTTATCTAGGAAGCTGTGGAGACCGTTGGGTGAAATCTTGCACAATACAGGCCCTTGAATGGAATCCGAATTGGAAATGACAAGTTTGGCGTAAGTTTGAGGATCGATGAGACCTTGTCAGAAGGGGAGGATAACTTACGGGCTATCATGTAGGCAGATAAAAAAGACTGGAGAGAACGGGACAAAGCGGGAATGTTTTGCTGGTGCCCTATATTCCATTCAGAACACAAGAATATAACAATAATATCAATACAAAACCCAAATCCTGTGAATGAAGACATTTAATACCATATAGACAGTTTCTTACTTAATTATTTTTTAATTTCATTTTTTATCACCTGTCAAAATTAATTTTCTGTGATGATATGTTCTGAGCATGGTTTCTTCCACAAATAGGTATTGGAAAAGCTTTATTTTGATTTAAACAAATGATAAGTTCTATAGAATTGTCATTGAAGCCCATGTAAAACGTCTTTTCTGTAAATGTACAGCTTCAACAGATATAATGATGAATTTAATTTAGAGGCTTATTTATCACAGGTGATGTATCAGCCAATTGTAACCCCATCCATTTGCACGGTAAAACATTTTTATTATTGATAAGACTAATCTTTATTAAACGCTGAACGTATAAGTAAAATGAAATGCAGACTATTCTGTCTTTGATGGATAGTAGGCACAATTGATGAAGACAGATAGTATAGGAGGCTTAACATTAACATTTTACAGAGGATATCCGAGGAGAAGTCTTTAAAGCAGAAAGGAAACATGGTGTCTTCTTAACTCAATTTTCAAAACAAGAGCGTCATTGCCGAACTAGGCAGTAAATATGCTAAAAGTAGACAACATGGTGTATAGAGAATGCATTGTGTTACTTATATTTAGCCCTGTAGATGATGAAAGATTCTGACGGTTTAGCTTAAAACCTCCAATCAGGCTCAAATACGTGTTTATTTTCTTTTGTTTTGGAACATGCGTGTCATACTAATCATTTCTTTTTGTTTAGAAGTGGTATTTTTTCAGGTTTGGCCGCAGAATGATGTCAGTTAGAAACCATGAAATCAGGGAGTGCTAGATAGTGAGCAGTTTCGTCCTAGTACTTGGAACTCATCACAGTACGCACCCACAGGGGTTAGAACCTAGGACTTTCGGATTACAAGTTAAGCTCGTAGACCATTCAACCACTGGGATCTGATTCAATGGTCCAAGAATTCTAACTTCAACCAGTTCATGATTTTAGACCGATTACTAGTCAGTGTCATTGGTGAGCAGTTATTCTCCCCCTTGACCTGATGGCCCCCATTGGTTACGACTTCTCACTAGAACCCCAGACAACTTTATCCTGTAGTCAGTCACTGGTGGGCATCGAACTAATTTTCAAGAGTTACTTTGTAGGAATTCGATTTGTTTCAAGTTTGATCATGAAATGTTATCGGTTAGAGAAACACTGGAAAACTAGGGAGTACTGGACAGCTGTTTCGTCCTAGTTTACTACTCACCGGTAGTACTCATCAATCGGGGTTCGAATCCAGGCCCTCCTAGTTACAAGGCGAGCTCAGAGACCATCCAGCCACTGGTTCTCTAACTGAGATCAATTCGCGGCCGAACCTAAAACAACCCAAATCCCTACTAACTAATTCTTAACAGTGTTATAGTCACTGATAAATCTTACTTCAACTATGTTAGCCACTCGGACTTGTATACGCTCTTCTGCAGCTTTTATTCCGATCTATTTCTAAACTTTTGTCTATTGTACTTTATCTTCAATTAGCATTTTTCATATACGCTTATCGACAAACTGTTCTACAAGTCCTTTAATGAGGAAAATAAACTTTTCATATTAGTCATATGCTCATTTGTAGTATTCATCGTCTGCATTGTTTTATAACAAGAGTCAGATGTGTCATGAGGCTAAGCCATCAAAGTAGCTTGTTCACTTGATGTAA